TCCTGCTCCTCTGATGCTGCTTGGCCTGCTGTGTTCATCCAGCTCTACACCTTGTTATCTCACATTAACCCAATCAATACACCTTATGATTTTATAAACCTCTATAAGATCACCTCTCAACCCCCTATGCTCCAATGTGATTCACATTCAATGAATTGTGGATGAGGTAAGCTTTCAGGGAAATCAACACTGCATTTATCTATTTTATCCTTGAAGATGAGAAGCATCTGATTTATCTTTACCGTGTCATTTTAGTGTTTCTCTGCTGACTGCAATGTCAGTGGATCAAGTGCCTGTGGAAAGTTGCACATTGGTTTTACAACAGTGACATTCTCTTGAACTTTTTTGTGACCATTTTCCTTGCATGCATTTTAAAAGTTTTCACCCAGTTATGGTGCTGTTCACAATAAGTGCTTGAAAGCTTTCTGGCTTTGTAACTCTAATGTCACTTATTCAACCTTAATATATGCTCCACTTAGCTCCACCAGAAAACAAAAACGTACAATCTTTCTAGGTCGTCTTTCCACATGGCTGCAGAGCTCCCTTTAAGAACTATGGTGTAGCCTGCTCAAAGCCACAAAATGGCAATTAAGATCCAAAATGCTAAAACTTGCATATTGCAGGTAGTTATTTTCATGAGAAAGTAACTCTAGCCAAGATGGCAGCAGTCAAAATGCCTGAATAAACAGGGTGATAAATAATATTATGTGATTTTCAGGCTGTTATTTCCCTTTTTATGGCTATACAATTGACCCTATTATCTTTACAATTACATTTTTTACCCAGAAGAGTTGATACCCTTTGTGTGTATTGTATCTTCCTTTTGTTGTGCAAATTTGTTATACTTCAGATGACTAGGGAAGATAAGTAACTTTCCCAGTAAGAAAAAAATTGTCTCCCTCTGCTTTGGCTCAAAATGCCTTTCTGCAATTTTTTGTTTGAGCAGCATATCTTGCTATTCAAATTAATACAGTCAGAGTAGAATGTAAGAATCCTGGTTATTAAAGGTAGCATTGTAAGAGTTGATTGTTTGCATCAATTGTACCATCAACATCAACCATCCAGAATAAGAGGTCATAGTTTTAGGATAAGGGCTAGAAGAAGGGTGGCATGGTGGCTCAGTGGTTAACAATGCTGCCTCACAGTGTCAGGGACCTGGGTTTGATTCCACCCTTGGGTGACTGTCTGTGTAGAGTTTGCACATTCTCCCCTTGTCTGCGTGGGTTTCCTCTGGATGCTCTGGTTTCCTCCCACAGTCCAAAGACGTGTCGGGTAGGTAGATTGGCCATGCTAAATGTTTAGGCTAGGTGGATTAGACATGGGGAAATGCAGAGGTAAGGGAATGAGTCAGGGTGGGATGTTCTTCAGAGGGGCGATATGGACTTGTTGGGCCAAATAGCCTGTTTCCACACTGTAGGGATTCTGTGATTTTAAAACTGAGATGAAGAGAAATTACTTTGTGAATCTGCAGCATCCAGTACCCCAGAGTGTGATGGATGCTGGGACATTGTCTATCTCCTCTTTAAATTTACTCAGATTTTTAAATTAATAATGGGTTGAAGGGTTATGGAGAGTGGGCAGGAACGTTGAGGCTGAGATGAGATTGTGATTGTATCAAATGGTGGAGCAGGTTTGAGGGCCTGAATCACCTACTGCTTCTCCTACTCCTTATGTTTTAATGTTCTGAGGTATGTTTGTGCCTCAGCTGCATTTTTATTAGCAATGAATAACAATGTCCAAAACGTTGTTAAGCTCCTACAGTTTTTTTTTTGTATCGCTCTTCTCATTAATTTGGTATATAACTTGTAACCACATTTCACTTAGGCAGTGGCCTAAACACAAAAAAAATCATCTGTTCTTCTCTTTCTTCCTGGTGCATAGGTACATTTACAAATGGAGTAGCTGAAGGTGCTATCGACCAGCGATTGAACCCCATCACTGCCATTAAGTTGTCAATTTTACAAGATTCCACTGTGTGGGTTCTTCTTGACGAGGTGAGATGACCCTCAACAGATTCGCGTTGCTGTTCATTTGTGTGATTCCATGAACAAACTGTTTCTTAGGAAATAAAAACCGAAAGAACTGCGGACGCTGTAAATCAGGAACAAAACCAAAGTTGCTGGAAAAGCTCAGCAGGTCTGGCAGCATCCGTGAAGGAGGAAACAGAGTTAACGTTTCAAGTCTGGTGACCCTTCCTCAGAACTGATGGTGGCTGGGAAAACGTCAGTTTATATGCAGAAAATAGGGAGGTGGGTGGGGTAGGGAGTAAACGATAGGATAGAGCCCAATGAGAGGGAAAGACAGTTGGACAGACAACTGATTGTTAGCAACTCCTTTGTGTGTCCAACTGCCTTTCTCTCTCTTTGGGCAGTATCCTATCATTTACTCCCTACCCCATCCACCTCCCTATTTTCTGCATATAAACTGACATTTTCCCAGCCACCATCAGTTCTGAGGAAGGGTCACCAGACCCGAAACGTTAACTCTGTTTTCTCCTTCACGGAAGCTGCCAGACCTGCTGAGCTTATCCAGCAACTTTGTTTTTGTTCCTGTTTCTTAGGAAGCTGGTTTGAAGGTCATGTGGAGAGTCATTCTTTGAAGTTTAAAACAGACATGCACAAAAATCTGTGCAATTATAGGAAAGCCTTTCATAATCCCAAAGCACCTTGTAACCAGCAAGGTATTTCTTGTAATGTAATTTCTGGTAATATTTCTTGCATTCCTACTGATCTGATGTAGGGAAGGCAGGAGCCAATTTACACACAGCAAGGTAGCAAAGAGATGATGACCAGATCATTAACTTATTTTTCATTGATGCTTGAGAGAGAAAAATAGAACAGCAATCATGGCCTGCACATCTTTCATATAGTGCCATGGGATTTTTATACCCACCTGAAAGCAAAGAAGGTGCCTTGGATTATTGCCTCACCTGAAATCATTGTCCAATTTCAAGACAGTTCTGCTTTAATTAGCAAAGAGAATGCCTCAAGAACCTGTTTACTTGTTTATTGCATAGAAATCTGGGCCAACCTGGAGGAGAGAAACACCAGCAATGAGAATGCAATCAGGATCTCGCATATTTCCAATGGGGACTGCAAATCCTGTGGCCTCAACAAACCGAGCATCACTAATGTCCAATATTGTGGTGCTTGAGCATCTCTCAGACTAAACAATCTGCAGAATTCCAAACTGAAGGAAAATATAGAGCATTTTTCTCAGTAGATCATAAAATTAATAAATACTTTATTTGTTTATAACACTTTCAGTGCACCATCATGTCTTTATATAGCACTTTTTGGATGTAAAAACATCACAAGAATGTTTCAGACAGTACTTGACACCACCTCACATAAGGATGGGATGACAAGTGACCAAAAGTTTGGTCAAGGAGGCAGTTTTCAGGAGTGACTCATTGGAGAACAGGGAGAGAGATTAAGATATGGAGAAATTTAAGAAGGCCATTACAGATTAAGATCTAGCTACCTGAATGCCCAGCTATCAATGCCATAGTGATGCAAAACAGGGAGTACGGAGATCTGTGGGTCTTGCGGTTAGATGGGTTTACTCTAAGTTATGGTGTCACTGAATGCTTCAAAAAAAATTTGAAATGGTTTGTCATGATGGTCATTGTTTCTATGACCCATGAGTACTTCTCACCTTGCTTATAATATTATGTCTTTTTCCTATTCCAGATCCAGCTTAAAAAAGCTGCCAATTAATCAGTATTTAAATGAGATTAAGAATGGGTCTATTTTATACAACAAAAGGTCCCACAGAAGTTTAATAGCTTCATAGAGACTCTTTAATAATGAAGTGTTGATACTGATCACAGAATTCATGGATATATCGCCTCATCGTCTGATCGCCGTGGATGTTTATTGTTCCTGGACACTACCTCCTGTGAAATCTACTGTAATTTTCTATGTAACAATTCTAATTTTGAAGAATTATCAGCTGGAACCTCTTGGTAATCAGAAGTTAATAGACTGTTCTTCTTATCATGAGTTTAGCTGAGGTGTAAATGTATTTTTTGTTACCCATTTTACCAGCAAAATTTACCTAAATACTAAGTAAAGATAAACAAATAAGTGAGACTACTTCTGTATAAAGAGGTTAAATATGTTACAAATTTTGAACGTACATTGTGCATCAGGGACAGATACTGTACAAACAGGCGAGAAAGGATGGGTCACGATGATGGGACAACGAAGGGATAGTAACCTTTAATTTATTGTAAATATGCGCAGCACATGTTTTAAGACATTCCAGGCAGATGTAGTTTCTTGATCATAAATACTGTATTTAATTTCTAAGCAAATTATGTTAACTTCTGAGGAAGTGTTTTATTTTTTATGAAGGAGAAAAATTGCCTTTTCAAAGTCTTGACTTGTGAATGTTGAAATTTGCCATGTCCTTGAGATGCAGTTGCAGCTCATTGCGTTCCAGCAGCATTGAGGCATGTAAAAACTTATGTGCCTTAAGTGTCATGTTGCTACAGCTGGTTAGCATTAGTAATATTGAGCTGATAGCAGGCAACAATTCTTCTTTCCATTTTTAACAAGTTATTCACTTGCAAAGAGGCCAAGAAGAAGTGGAAATTTTGCTTACTACTTCATATCTTACTTATTAGAAAATATTCTTAATAATCTTAACATAATTTTCAGGAAAGAAATATAATTGTTCATCTAGTACTTAAACACAACACCCACATGGCAAAAAAAAAATTAAAGTATCAGGTAGCCCCTTCCATTGCAGCTTTGTGTCATCACTTTATAAAAGACATCTTATCCAGGCAGTCCCACATTGCAAATGGGTTCAATTCTTGATTCTGTTCGCCTGTCAATTTATACGTGACTCGGAGCACAATGCAGGCCAATATAAAACAGCCAGTTGTATGTGCGAGAAAACTTTCTTATGTCGGATCTTTAAAATGACACCCCTGTATGGGATTGTGCTCCTAAGCATGAACATTCACAAGTTGGATGCTTGTAAATCAGGGGCCCCCTGTAGTGTCAGTGACATTGCAAGTCCTTTATTCTCATAACTTGGATAATTTTCCTCAGCAAAGAGATACGTTTGAAGATTTTATTTCTGGAAACATGAGTTTGATGGATTGGATACAGGGTTAACTTGCTGTGTTTTTTTTTCATATGTACCGTATGGATTCTGTAAATACTGGCTGGATTTACCAGTGACTGTATAACCAGTGATAAATCTTCCTAGTTTTCTACTGGAAAGCTTTTTTTAGTTGATATAGACAGGCAATGTGCATTAAACTAGATTTTTATGATCATGTGCAATCATCCATTAAATTGGTGGTATTTTAAATGTTTGAAATGTTACTAGAAGAGGGGTTTCTCTGTTGGAGGAGGATATAAATATTATGAACTCTGCTTGGATATGCCAAAGTTTGCATTAATAAGTGCAATATGGAAAATGATGACTCAGACAGTAGGTGTGATTCATGTTTTCAGTGTTTCCATTTATTTAAAAATTCTATTTAAATTGGACAATCTTAGTATTTTAAAGTCTTGGAAAAAGTAATTATTGAAAAGCTTGTGACAGACTTTAGTTGTCTCCCTATCAACTGCATCAAAATAATTTATATATATTGGAAAAGGTGTGAATAGAGAGGGAATACAAAAACATGTCAACAAGGTTGGGGGGACAAAAGTTAGCTTCGTAAAGAAATTATCAACAAAGTTGGACAAGTTGAAGTTGAAATTTTAATATTATTAATAATGCACAGTTCAGAGTCATAAGATGAGCTGCCTAAATATTAATGGACTGCAATCTAAAAACAGGAAATGCAGGCCAGTGAATACCTATAAAGTGAAAAGACCCATTAATAATTTGGATACAGATCATTTCTCAGACCCTTGTTACTGAAGGTCTCTAATAACAAATGCATTCATTTTATGAAGTAATTATTTAATAACTAAGCATTGGCTGAAAAATATATATTTTTAAATTATTTAAAATGTAAAGCCAAGATCAAATCAGTTGATTTCAGTTTCAAATCTTTTGAGAAAGCTATTTGCATCAACAAATCTGGAAAAATGATGGGTGTTAAGCAAACGTCAAAACGATACATCTGAAGTCAAATTGTGAGATTCCTTGTGGGTCTTCATTAATTCTCAATTTGCATTCAAAAAGGTTCAATCTAATTTTCCAAAATATCTGAAGCTGTGGATCTATTTATGGCACCTCTAACCCATCCTTCATCTTGTGTACATTGCATTTGTATGATTTTCCACAGTTGTTCGCTGTGTATGCTGGCTGTTTGTATGTGTGCTGGATCATAACGTACAAAAAAATTATAAACTTGTGTGGTCTTTGCTCTTCCCTTCTTGCAATTTCTTCTTGAAAAGTCATTAGAAATCACTGGAGGATTGGAAGAAACAATACTTAAGGGGTTTTTCCATTAAGGCTTAAGACTGATCCGTATTTTATTAAATCTGTAGGGTGAGGGGGAAACATCAGAATTAGTTCATTGGATGAGAAACAGCTTGGATTGTCCTGGGGATGGATAATACTTTACATTCATCCATATATATTCAATTCGCACTTCTGCTACTGTTGCAGCTGTATAATAGATCCATGTTCACTGCTCAGAAAATTTAATCAAATTGTGTAACATAGAATGAAATACAGCACAGTGCTGTTGTTTGAAGGGTAGGTCCTGATTTTTAATCATTGCATTTAAAATTAGAAAAATAAAGTTGAAATATTGATCATATATGAGTTAAGTGAGGTGATTTACTGCCAAACCCCTACTTGCACAGTGACTTGTTTTTTTAAAAATCTTGGTAAACCACACGTACAGATCAGCTAATAATAGTAAATAGGAACTCAGAGGGCTCATCTCTAATACTTTTTTAAATAATAAATTATAGATTTATTGTGAATCGAGTATTAAGGAATCCCTTTTACATAATATGCCACAGATCAATCGCTTCTTGAAATATGATGCTTTTGCTTATTTTTATGGATATGTTTATGCTTTTGTTTGTAAGAACGCTCCAGTGCACCTGCTTCTTTTAATGTCAATGTGCCTTTCATCAATGGTCCATGTTATTTTCATAAATGTGCCATAACTTTGCAACGAACACAGTTGTAATAAAATTGAACTTGTTATACGTTGAATTGTAATTACGTGTAGAATGTTCTGTATAATTGGCTTCTTTAACTTCGGTCCGTTATGTAATAAATTGCTACATTTTTGGATGTCAGTTTTGACATTGAATAAGCCATTTGTTTGTAATGTTCTTTGCGATGTGTGAGTCCAGTAACATATTAGTTTCTAATCACTGGATTAGCCATCCAGAGGCTTGGCCTAACGATTTAGAGACGAGAGTTCAAATCCCACCACAAAAGTAGACTCAAATGTAAATTGTTAATTTTTGTAAGCCTGGAATTAAACAAAAACTAGTAATAGTGACCAAGTAACTGACAGTTTCTTGTAAGAGCCCACCTGATTCATTAATGCTATTAACAGATGGAAATTTGCCCTCCATCTTCACTCTAGTCTTGTATGTGATTCCTGATCTACAGCAATGTCTTGAATCATAATTATTATGGAGCAGAAGAAGGCCATTGGCCCATAAGTCTGCATCAGGCTATTATCTAGTCTGGCTTTATTATCTAGTGCCAATATCCTGCCTTTTCTCCATATCCCTGCTCGTCACTATCCAAATAATCAGCCAATGCCTTTTTGAATGCCTCAATTGAACCTGCCTCTATCACATTTCCAAACAGTGCATTTCAGACGCTAATAACTTGCTAATAAAGAAGTTCTTTTCTTTCCCCACATCGCCCTCCTTTCATTTGAACATCATTTTAAATGCCCTGTCAAAAAATCTGCAATGTCCTTCAGTTTTAGCAAGCTGCTTCAAAAATCACCAAGAATAAAACTGGGTGAACTTCCCAGTCCAGTAGATCCATCAGAATCCTTCTTACTAACATCTAGGGACTTGGTCAAAAAATTGAGTTATCCTACTAGCTAGGCAAGTATCACATTGACATACTCATATTCACAGAATCATGCCTTTTAGCCAATTCTTGATACTCCTCTTTCATTACCTTGGCACTGTTCCACTGGCCAGATTGCCCACAGGTGGTGGAATAGTGGTATACAGTTATGAGGGAATAGCCCTGGCTATCATAAAAACATAGAAAATTAGAGCAGGAGCAGGCCATCTGGCCCTTGGAGCCTGGTCTGCCATTCAACATGATCATGACTAATCGTCCAGCTCAATATCTTGTTCCCACTTTTGCCCCATATGCTTTGTTCCCTTTGGCCCTAAGAAATGACTTCAGTGACAGGGAAATCACTGGAAGAAATTCTGAGGGACAGGATTAATCAATACTTGGAAAGGCAGGGATAGTCAGCATAGATTCGTTAGAGGGAGACTTTGACCAATTGAACTGAGATTTTGAAGATGGGACAAAACATATTGTTGAAGTTAGTGCAGTTTATGTGGATTCAATGGATATCTGTAAGGTCTTTGACAAGGTCCCATATGGAAGGCTGTTCCAAAAGGTAACAGCCCATGGGATCCAAGGCAAGTTGGCAAACTGATTCCAAAACTGGCTTGCAAATAGGAGGCAGAGGGTGATGATGAGGGTTGTTTTTGTGATTAGAAGCTTGTGACCAGCAGTGTACCATAGGAATCAGTGCTGGAATCTTGTTGTTTATTACATACATTAACAACTTGGATGTGAATGTAGAAGGTATAATTAGTAAGTTTGCAGATGACATGAAAATTAGTGGTGTTGTTGATAGTGTGGAGGATGGTCTCAGACTACAGTCTGATACTGATCAGGTGATAAATTGGGCAGAGCTTTGGCAGAAGGAATTTAGCCCTGATAAGTGTGAGATGATGCATTTTGGGTGAGCTGATAGGGAGAGATATACATTGAATGGTAGGTCCTTTCGGAGTACTGAGAAACATAGGGACTTTGGTTACAAGTCCATAGATCCCTGAAGGTGGCCTCACAGGCAGAGTGATGAAGAAGGTAAAAGGGATGCTTGCCTTCATTAGCTGGGACATAGAATATACAAACAAGCTTGTTACAACATTATAAAATATTGGTTAGGCCACAGATGGAATACCACGTGCAGTTCTGATCGCCACGTTGCTAGAAGGATATCATTGTACTGGAGAGGATGCAGATGAGATTCACCAGGATGTTGCCTAGGATGAAAAGTCTCAGTTATAGAGGAGATAGTTATAGGCTGGGTTTATTTTCCTTGGAGCAGAGGAGGCTGAGGGGGATACTTGATTGAGGTCTACAAAATTATGAGTGGCGAAGACAAAGCACATCCTGAGAATCATTTCCCCAGAGCAGAACATGTCCAAGACCAGCAGGCATAAATTTAAGGTGAGCAGTAAGTGATTTAGAGGCAATCTGAGAAAAGTGTTTGTACCCAGAATGTGGTAGAAATATGGAATGTGCTGCCTGAGAGGGTGATGGAGACAGGTATTCAAGAAGCGTCTGGATGAGTACTTAAAATGCCAGGGTATGGTAGGCTATGGACCAAATGCAGGTAAATGGGATTAGTGCAGTTAAGTATTTGTTTGTCAGCATAGACATGGTTGGCTGAAGGACCTGTTTCTATCCTGTATGACTCTGACTGTAAGATCTATGTTTATCTTCTTCTTGAAAACAGTCAATGATTTGGCTCCACATGCTCACCCATTGTCTGGGTGAAGACATTTTTCCTCATTTCACCCTTAAATGGTCTACTCCATATCCTTAGACTGTGACAGCTGGTTCTGAACTGCCCAGTCATTGGGAACATCCTTCCTGCAATTACTGTGCCGAGTCCTGCTCAAATTTTATAGGTTTCTGTGATTTGCCCCTTTTATTCTTCCGAACTCCAATCAATTCAGTCTTTCTTCATACGTCAGACTTGCCACCCCAGGAATCAGTTAGGGAAACCTCCATTGCACTCCCTACACATCCAGAACATCTTTTCTCAGATAAGTCAACCAAAACTGTACACAATACTCCACATATACCCTCGCAAAGGCCCTATACAATTGAGCGAGATATCCCTGCCCTTGTACTCAAATCCTCTCACTGTGAAAGCCAACCTGCTTTGTACCAGAGATAGTAGGAACTGCAGATGATGGAAAATCTGAGATAACAAGATGTAGAGCTGGATGAACACAGCAGGCCAAGCAGCATCATAGGAGCAGGAAGGCTGACGTTTCAGAAACATCAGCCTTCCTGCTCCTATGATGCTGCTTTGCCTTGCTTTGTACCATTTGTCTTCTACACGTGCTGTACCTGCATGTTTACTTTCAGTGACTGGTGTTCAAGGGCACCCAGGTCTCATTGCACCTCCCCCTTCCCCAATCGATTGCAATTCAGATAATAATCTGCCCTCCTATTCTTGCTACCAAAGTGGATAACCTCAACTGTGCCTCCAGATCCCCATGAAGTCTCACGGCATTAAGTCAAACAGGGGCAAGGAAATTTTCTATTGGCTTGGCTGATGAATCAAACTCTTCCATATTGAGAACCACTTGGAAGAAACACTTCTTCAGGCCTAGCTGGAAGAAACACTGTGTGGCTAAGACTGTAGTCTGGTTGGGAAGCTTCAGTGTCCATTACCAAGGACAGCTCAGTGGCATCATTGCTGACTAAGATGGCTGATATCTGAAGGACACCCTACTGCAGAGGTATCTGTCCATGGCCATAATAGTATCAGTGAGTACAAACAGATTCACTCAAAACTGGTCATCAATGAGGTGCTGTGGGTAGCAGTATGAGTGTATTCCATTTACTTTAACAAGACACCTATACTGGTTCAATGAATACAGAAGAGCGTGAAGGAGCTGCAAGAGATAGTAAAAGCTAACCTGGAGAAGCCATGAAACAGGACTTCATGTTCAACAAGCAGCGGAAGCAGAATGCAATAGATTTAGCTAATTAATCCCACAAAAGACTCTGGAGATCTGCCATATCCAGTCATGAATGGTGAACAAGTAAGCAACAAATGGGAGAAGCAGGCTCCATGAGTATCCCCATCCCAATGTGGCAGAGCCTAGCACCTGAGACAAAACAAAAGCATTTGGAAGCAGTAGAATTGAAGTCACAAGAATTATTATTCACCTCAACAGCTTCCTGATTACCCACTGTCACAGAGGCCAGGTTTCAGCTAATTTGATTCATTCCATGTGACATCTGCAAGCAGTTAAAGACACTAGATACAGCAAGGGCAATAAACTCCAAAACAATATAGCTGTAACACTGAAGGCCTGTATTCTGGACTAATACTCTTGCGAGGAATAAAAACAAAAATTGCTGACAAAATTCAGCAGATCTGGCAGTATCTGGGGGAAGAAAGCAGAGTTACCATTTTGATTCTTCATCAGAGTGGACTTGAAACATTAACTCTGCTTTCTTCCCACAGATGCTGCCAGACCTGACAAGTTTCACCAGCAATTTCTGTTTTTGCTTCAGATTTTCAGCAATGGCAGTTTTTTTGTTTTATTTATCATCTACCGATTATACATTTTATAGCCTTTGGACTCAACAGCTTCGGACTGTGAAGTTAATTTGTCCTCCATTTTGATTTTTGTTTTGCCAAGTTCCAGGCTGTACATTGTTTTCGTGCTTTTGCTTTCATACATCAGTCCTTTATTCTGCCATTAACACTTACTTTGGACCAATGCATTGTTTCTTTTGTATAACCATTACCACTCCTTTTCCTTTTTGTTTGATGACATCTTTGTTGTTTAATCCCTCCCATCCTTTAAACTTCCATGACCTTTCCCCGGTTCCATCTGACCCTTGTCCTTTTTTCAACTTGAAAGATAGAAATGTAATTGGTTTTAAGTTCCAAAGAAGAGTCATGATGGACCCTGTCCCCACTGCCCTCTACATATGTTGCCAGACCAGCGGAGTTTCGCCAGTGTTTCAGGATTGCCAGCATCTGCATCATTTTATTTTTCAACACTTCCATCTAGTGGCCAAAGTGAAACATTGCCCAGCAGCTTTTAAATTCACTTGTGGAATGAGAGCATCACTGTCTAGCCCGGTATTGATGTGGAGATGCCGGTGTTGGACTGGGGTGGACAAGGTCAAAAATCACATGATACCAGGTTATAGTCCAACAGGTTTATTTGAAAATGCAAGCTTTTGGAGCTCAGCTCCTTCCTCAGGCATAGTGTGAGAGAGAGGGTATAAGGCACAGAATTTATAAGCAGAAAGGTAACAACCTTAAAACTGGCC